TCACTCTCAAACAGAGAACATGTAATTTACTTTTCTTAGATTAACTTTTAATTACTTCAATTCCCTTGTACTTGTGTGCTTGCGCCCCTTGGAGGCATCTTGTTCGTGTCCAAACTGTAATCTTCATATTCAATAAACACCCCTTTTTGGGACTTTGTTCCAAGAGGTTTGTCCCTTACACAATCGTCTGATTCCCTTTTTAATTGTTAGAGAGCGAAAAACCCGCGAAACAAAAAGGAATTCCCAAATCAACATATTGGAAGATCAGATGAGAAAGCTAAGCTTAGACAAAAGGCCAACGTAATTTGAAGGGACGTCAAGATTATAAATCTACGTTGCATTGCACTGCCTCATAAGCAATCAACTGTGGAACGACACGTTCGTCATGACGTCAACACCTAATGCTTAAACAATAAAAAATAAGCAATAATTTCCCAACATCAGATCATCATTACCTAATGCCATAGTTGGGATGTAGGCGTCATAGTGACATTTTTGGCTGACCTCATCAGCCAATCGAGAAGTCAGAATTTCAGACGGTGGCACACATCTTTAGGTCGATACTATAGTTGAAATAACGCTTGAAAGACAAGTGGTCTGAACTTTCACCCAATAAATAAGGACCAATGGTTCCCCCGATGACAGAGCTAAGGAGATTCGACAACAAACACTCCTAGATGTCTCTTTTAATACATTTATTTTGTAAATTTTGATTCAATTCCAACAATACTCAATAAAATTTTCTCTTAAGTTGATCTAATCTTACCTCATCATTTTTAGCCATCAATATTAACTAATTTTGGCTATGCCGATAAATTTCTTTTAAAAATTTTACCGTTGTCGATAGGAGTGAACAAAAAACATTCAACCAAATTAAAATTTTAGTTTTTAAACTTTTAATTCGGGTTTACATGGTTCCATCAATGTTTTAGTTCAAAATCGAACCAAACTGTTTAAAAATTATTCGATTTTTTGACAATGGAGAATTGCTTGAAATCAACAAAATGAACCACCAACCAATTTAAAAAATAAATTATTTACTTCATCCAATATATTTTATTTATTAATTTACTTCAAAAAATTTACTTGTTAGTTGTTAAAGTGATTTTAGATTTTGTCATGTTGACATTTCAAAGTAATATATTTATATTTTTACTTGTTTGAAAGATGTTAGTTTTATGTCGCTAAAATAAAAGAACAATTTGGTAAAAAAAAATTAGCTCCTGTTTGACTTTCATTCTTTTTCTTCATTTCAACCACACATTCTATCAATAAAATAATATTACACATAACCCCAAAAATTCTTCTTACTTTTAACCACACATTCTTCCCATCAATCACTATTCCAGAATTTATTATTCTAAAAAATGGGTGTCAAACACATAGATGGTTATATTCTTTTTGAAATTTTTTTTAAAGCACTATTAATGATCTGTTTGACATGACTTCTACTTTTACTTTTTGTAGAATAACTTTTGAAGGGAGATACTTTAATTTTTGTTTGAAAACTAATTTTTAAAAGAACTTCATATTCTGGAAGTACTTTTAGAGCAAGGTACGTTAAATCGTTTGCTAAAAAAACTCTTATAACTATCAAAATCACTTTAATAAAATTAGTCGAATGGATCCAAATGCAGCTTTTCAAACAGGCCCTAAGTGGCACGACATTAATGTCTACTCAAGTCCAAATTGATATTCAGCAAACTTGATTTACAACCAATAATTGTATCCACGGGTTTTTATTTCTAAAAAACAAAAACAATTACATCTAAATATAGAAAAAAAAATATTTTTTTTTTCCGTTAAATTGACATGGGATTAAATCCACGAATGACCACCTAACTTTATACTTGATGTCATTATGACCACCCAATTTGATTTCGTTTCACCATGGCTACCCAACTTTATATTTACATTACCATAGCTACTCAATTTGATTTTGTTTCACCGTGATCATCCAGTTTTAATAACATTCCACCATGCACTCAATTTCATATAACATTTCACAATGACCATCAAATTTGTTTTCATTTCATTAATTAAAAAATTGGGTAAAACGGTAATTTTGCATTATATATAAAATAAAATAAAATTTTATTTTAATAAATAAATAAAATTAAAACTTATTTAAAGAAAACGTTACTTAAAAAAGTAAAATAAAATAAACCTTAATTTTAAAAAAAGTTATTTAGAAAAATGAAATAAAAAGTTATTTAAAAAATGTTTTTAAATAAAATAAAATATTATTTTAAATTAAAAGTTTTTAAAATTTTAAAAAACTTTTATTTATGTTTTTTTTTAATTTATTTTATAAATTACGGTGAAACGTTATATGAAATTGAGTTACGACGGTAAAATAAAATCAAATTAGAGGATTAAGATGACACTAAATATAAAATTGGGTGGCTATGGTAAAACAAAATCAAATTGAGTGGTTATATCGACAATAAGCATAAAGATGGTTGGCAATTCGTGAATTTAACCCAATTAACACGTGTTAACTTTTGAACTGAGATACAACTCTAAGCAATTCAAATTTAATTAAGGCCATGTTTGATGGGCACCTTTTCCATGGAATTCGGAAAATAAATATCATTTCCACCCTTAATGTATTGTTTGATAGTACAATTTTTTTGGGAAAAAGAATTCCACCCTCCCTCTCACGCGCCTATTTGGCCACTTTTTAAGAAATCCGATTTCCTACCTTTTGGTGGGAAATCTGATTCCATCTTTTTTTTTTTTCCATTTTTTTGGGCAATGGAAACAAATTTCATAATCAAGTATTAAAAAAAATTCACTTTAATGGACAATTTCCATATAAAAAGAAGTCAAACGAACACTAAATTTTGATAAAAAAATGATTTTTTAGAATATATATATTACTTTTTGACAATAGAAACAAATTTTATAACCAATTGTGAAAAATATTATTACTTTTATGGATAATTTTCGTGTAAAATAAAGTTGAACGAACACAAAATTTAGAACTTGTTTGGGAGAGATTTTTGGGGGAAGAATTGATTTTGAATAGTGATATGATGGGAAATGTGTGGTTGAAAAAGAAGAAAAAATTATTGATACGATGGAAAATATTATTTTATTGAAAAATGTTGGTAGGGATTGTTGAGGGAAGAATTGATTTTTGAATAGTGATATGATGGGAAATGTGTGGTTGAAAAAGAAGAAAAAATTATTGATGTGATGGAAAATATTATTTTATTGAAAAATGTGCGGTTGAAAATGAGAATTAATTCACTATAGAAAAATTTAATTCCTCCCAAACAGGGTCTTAAAAATTTTTCGGGTGAAAAATTATACCAATCAAACACACTCAATTAACAATTCATAGCAAAACAATTTTCTAAACAATTACTTTCCCTGAAATTCATTTTTTTCAACCAATTTTCCACCATTGCAATCAGACGAACCCTGAATAATTTACGGAAACACTGGACATTCTCTTGCGTAATCAAATTGTTCACGGAGAACTGAAGTATTAAAAAAACGATGGAAACTGCCGCCACCAAAACAGGAGATTGAGAATCTACTTGCTATATTTTCAATAGAATGGGATTCTCAACTGTAATTTCCCCAATTATCATTCCCTTCCTACACCCACCCCACCCCGACCGCCGCGTACAGCAGCAGCAGGCATGAAGTATTACACTATCATTACCCCTATACTTTCACGCTCTATTTTCGCCTCCACAATCACCATTTTCCAGTAGCCAAATAACACGAATTTACACACATTTACTCTGTTAACAATAATGGCATTTGCATCTCCAGTTACATCCTATTATTTGCACAATCTCTGTTCAGACGCATTTTCACGTGAACCAAATTCAAAACCCAGGAAAAATTTAACAACATTGAACAAGATCCACCGTTTTTCCCTTCTCCATCGCCTTACCATTTGCAGGTTATCTACATTTTATCCAGTTTCACGGAGAGTTCTATTGACTGAGGAATTTTTTATTCCATATCTACTTGTTCACCAGAGCATTGCTAATTTTTGTTAGTGCGAGGATTAAACTCTTTTTCTTTAAAGATGAAAAAGTAGAGGTTTTCCACTAAACTGTAGTGCTCAGTAATCTTGTTGGGAAGCAAATATCTCTCAATTTCACTGAGTTCGTTGTGAAGTACCTAGAGAATTCTTTTTTTTTCTCGTTATTTTCTAGTTGTAATGTACGATTTTTACTGCTCCACAATGCTTTTTTCAAGTATGCTTGCCATCTAGTTTCTTATCTAGACCGTTATATGGCTTGAGCATTAAAACCTTTAGCAGAATTTGTCAATTTTACCTGATTGGAATGACATTAACGGGCTTCTGCTCCGGCTAATTGCATATGCGTTGAGTCCTGCTTTCGGTGTCAAATCTGTTTTACTAAAAACATGAACATGAATATAAATTGGGATGAGTGACGTGCAACCGGTGTAGCGTATGTTTAGCAGATGGTGAAATTTCCAACTATTATTCGTCCCCTGCATAACTAAAAATTTAAAAAACAGAATCCCTTCATAGAGTACGATTAGAGCATTCTCCAAGCCAACATGATTTTTGTTTCGCATTTTTATCTTTGTTAATCGACTAGAGTGATTAGTACCGTGTGACCAGTAAACTAAGCCCATCAATGTTTGCTGAGCTACTTGTTTGAATTGTCAATCGCATGTATTATAGTATACTAATGGCTTTCATCTCTTTTTCTTTCTATAGAACAATGTCCCTCTATTTCCTGTTATTTGTTGGGATGCTGAATGGTTATTTTTTTGTTTTAACAACAGAACAGATTACTTTTCACTGTGGGAAGGAAGAGATTCATCAAAGTCTAACATATTGGCTTCAGTAGCAAGTGCAGGTTATTGTCTTTCGTTTTTGATATGTGTCCAGATTAAATTCTGAAGTCACGAGGGTGTATAGTGTCACTAATAAATTATATTTTCCCAACTGTAAACAACCCCTTTAGATACTGTACTGGATGAAGCTGTAGAAAGAGCTCAACTTCCAAAGGGTGACACCTGGTCTATTCATAAATTTGGTGGTACCTGTATGGGAACTTCTGAAAGAATACGAAATGTTGCAGACATTATTGTCAAGGACGAATCTGAAAGAAAATTAGTTGTTGTTTCTGCAATGTCAAAGGTGACAGACATGATGTATGATCTAATATCCAAGGCACAGTCTCGTGATGATTCTTATATTAATGCATTGGATGCTGTTCTGGAAAAGCACACATCAACAGCAATTGATCTACTCAAGGGGGATGGTCTTACTAATTTCTTATCTCAGTTGCATCGGGACATCAGTAACCTTAAAGCAATGCTCCGAGCAATCTATATCGGTATATTTCTCTGTGTGTGATGCAATGCTTAATGCATGGTAGATTTGGCAAAAACAATAAGAATAGACCTCTCCATGCGATATATCTGCCTTAACGGGGTTCCCCACAATAGTTTTGACTTATTGAATTGATACAGTGAATGATATATTTGAATTTTTCATCACATTACCCATGCCTGAAACTCTTTCCAATTTATGTAGAAAGAAGAAAGAATCATTAAAGGCTAAGTTAATGATATTCTCCCACTCTAGTTATATAAGAATCACTTGCATGTATGTAATCCCTTTGATATAGAATGTGATTATTTGTGTATGCTAGTGCGAGAAAAAAGATGTTACACGTCTCNATATAGAATGTGATTATTTGTGTATGCTAGTGCGAGAAAAAAGATGTTACACGTCTCTACACCAACCTAGATCTTTATATGTATTCGTTCTGTCGATTTTCTACAAGTACACCTGAACACTGGTAACATTCTCAATAAGCTATACTTTCTCTCTCTGCTTAATGATGGGCACTGACGTTTGCTATGTTCTTAGTATATGGTTTCCATTCTTAATTAGATCTTTTGAAAAAGTTATCCGGGTTTAGTTGAATTGCATATATACTTAGATATTCTCCCACTCTAGTTATATAAGAATCACTTGCATGTATGTAATTCCTTTGATATAGAATGTGATTATTTGTGTATGCTAGTCCGAGAAAAAAGATGTTACACGTCTCTACACCAACCTAGATCTTTATATGTATTTGTTCTGTCGATTTTCTACAAGTACACCTGAACACTGGTAACATTCTCAATAAGCTATACTTTCTCTCTCTGCTTGATGATGGGCACTGACGTTTGCTATGTTCTTAGTATATGGTTTCCATTCTTAATTAGATCTTTTGAAAAAGTTATCCGGGTTTAGTTGAATTGCATATATACTTAGATATACATGAATGCATATATTATGTCATACAGTGTTATTGCATATATAACTACATATATACATATCATGTTTAAATATAAAATATTTGTTGTATGAAATATGAAATTATTACAAATATAATTCTTTGGCAATGAACATATATTTTCTTGATGCTATACTGAATTAAACCACGTTGTAATGCAGCTGGTCATGCAACGGAATCTTTTTCAGATTTTGTTGTAGGACACGGGGAGTTATGGTCTGCTCAATTGCTGTCCAGTGTTATAAAAAAGGTGCTTTGTACTGTTAATGTTTTTCAATTTGGAGGATTACTAGTTTTGCAGGTTATGTGAATCAAAATTTTCATCCACATCTTTGTTCACAATATTTTTTCCTCTCATTGTAGAATGGATCGGACTGTAATTGTATGGACACCAGAGATGTCCTTGTTGTAAATCCCGTAAGTTCTAATCAAGTCGATCCAGATTACCTGGAGTCTGGCAAAAGGCTGGAGATATGGTATTCCGACAACCCATCTAACATAATTGTTGCAACTGGGTTTATAGCCAGCACACCTCAGAGTATTCCCACAACCTTGAAGAGAGATGGAAGTGACTTCTCTGCTGCGATAATGGGTGCTTTATTTAGAGCGCGTCAAGTCACAATTTGGACTGATGTTGATGGAGTTTACAGCGCAGACCCTAGAAAAGGCTTGTTCTAATTCATTCACATAAGCTTTCCATTTAGACACATGGACTCATTATTTTATCTTGAAGACTAATCTCCTATTATGGAGTAATGATGTACTCTGTCATGTTGCTGAGATATGCTAGCATTAGGCACAATATTTATGTCTCCTTTAATTTTTGTGTTTCTTTTAATTATTTTGGCAGTGAGTGAAGCTGTGATATTGAAGACATTGTCATATCAAGAGGCTTGGGAAATGGTAGAGTTTGTTGATCTCAGACCTTCCGAAGTTTATAATACTAGAAGATTCTTGTAATTAACAAGTTATTTATATCCATGCAGTCATATTTTGGAGCAAATGTTTTACATCCGAGGACAATTATTCCAGTGATGAAATATGATATTCCAATTGTTATAAGAAATATTTTCAACCTCTCTGCTCCAGGAACAATGATCTGCCGATCTTTTGTATGTGAAAATGAAAATGATCAGGGATTGGAATCTCCGGTTAAAGGATTTGCAACAATTGACCATGTGGCCCTTGTAAATGTTGAAGGGTGGGTTTTAATTGACTAAACGATGGCATCATTCACAGCGTGCATTTAAGTGTGTGGTTTTTCTTCTTTTTTCATTTTGTGGTTGAGTTGATCCTTGCAAATGTTTTTCGCAGAACTGGAATGGCAGGTGTTCCTGGAACAGCTAGTTCCATTTTTAGTGCTGTGAAAGATGTTGGAGCTAATGCGATCATGATATCTCAGGTACTTCTATTTTCTTCTACCCATTCAATGATTAATGTAATATTCTAACTGAGAAATACTTGTGCAGGCTAGTAGTGAGCATTCTGTGTGTTTTGCTGTTCCTGAAAAAGAAGTGAAAGCTGTTTCCATGGCTTTAGAGTCAAGATTTCGTCAGGCTTTGGATGCTGGACGCCTTTCTCAGGTATTCTGTTAGGTACTAGGTGTCAATTCATATTGAAATGTTACAACATGTCTGGTATATGTAGCTAATGTCCCATGTAACTTATACTCACAGCTATACTAACAGTATTGCCAAGTCCTACATAACACAAAATTTCCTTACATCATACACAATCTTAGTGAAAGTAGAAGTGTAGAGACGTGACTCCAAATGCATTTCTTAAGATGTTTCTCTACAGCGGTTAACTTAGAATGACATGTTTACTCATCTGAGCAACAGTACTTACCTACATTGGAATACTCGTTCAAGTTCAATCTTTACGTTGTGTCAAATTAAAGTTTTTATATGCTGTCATGAAAGAAATAGAGTCGATGATCATATAAAATGAACAAATATTTTGCTTACTGACTCAGCACTATCAGTATTGCTCAAGGCTTTGTCACTTAAATCATGTTACTGATGTATTTCACCTGAGACCCAATCAGTTGTACATAAGGGGTTCCAATGAATTCTGGTACTACCTTGTTCATTTGTAAGCAGGATACTGTGTTCAAGTTTTATATACGTAGTCTATATTTCTATTTGGTATGATCAGGCAATAGCTTAGCTTCTTCTCTTAATATCTGATGACATCAGCTTTTTGCATCATCCGCGATTAGGAAAAATGTGCTGTTCCTTTTTCCCGCCTTATCTCAGAGACTTTCTTAATTTGCATAGAATCTCTGCAGATTGCGGTTATTCCAAACTGTAGTATTTTGGCAACAGTTGGCCAAAAAATGGCGAGTACTCCTGGAGTTAGCGCTACACTTTTCAATGCACTCGCAAAGGTTGGGAAACACATTAGTTTTTGCAACTTTTTCTTATACTTTTCAATATCCATGTGCATTTCTACTATCAATCTTGTCCTGCAATGCGTGGTGCTTAAATGTCATTTAAGTGTATAAAAATTCTCATATCCAACTTACATGGTGGAACTTTCCAATTGAAACCTCGTTCTTGGACATTTAATGAGATATTTCATTGTTTGGGAAACTATTGGACTAATTTTATCTGTTTGTGGTTTTTCGAGTAATTGTTTCATCTCTTTTCATATTAGTGGACCATATAAAGATCAAGTTCGACTTGGCTTAAAAAGTTTACCTCTAATCTAAGGAAATAAGTGAGTTTTAAATAAATAATAATTTTTGCCGATTATAATTGAAGTTAAGTTATTTTGATGGTAAGACAAGAATTACTATATAAAAAAAGTAACTTTTCTTATAAGTAACAGCAAGTAATTTTCCCAAACATGTTTTTTGAGACAAAAGTTCACTGAGTAACTTTTCTTTGTTTTTAAGCTTAGCTAAACATGCTCGAAGACTGTTCCTTTCGCCTGCTGCTATGTTGCTATAAGAATGGTTATTGTCAACCACATAGAATACTTTCATGACCCGTTACTTTTACAGGCTAATATAAATATACGTGCTATAGCTCAAGGTTGTTCCGAGTACAATGTTACTGTAGTTGTCAAGCGAGAGGATTGCATAAGGGCTCTACGTGCTGTGCACTCAAGATTTTATCTGTCAAGGACCACAATCGCAATGGGTATTATTGGACCTGGGTTGATTGGTGGAACATTGCTTGATCAGCTCAGAGACCAGGTATATTTTTAATTTATTCTGATTTTTCTCAGTCATTTCTGTATTTGACAAGTGTAATTGAAAGGATTTTATATCCAACTTTCTTCTGTATATGAGACTCTTTTGAATAAAATAGCTATTCCTTTTGAAGTTTTACTTAATCAATGTGACAAATACACACACACACACATTTCCCTTCACTTCAAAAATCATTGTTATTTTGTTTTTAATTCAGATCAGCTTCTAAATTATTATTAACGAAAGCAAACTGGTTGACCTTAGAATAATATTGTTCATGTTCTGTGTTGGATATCAATGCAATTTTCATTCATAATTGCTTAAATTAGCTTTAAGTTTTTGTTTGAGTAATTAAACTTCTTGTCAACAAGACAATGTTGGTTAATAGACTTCTTCCCAAAAGAGTGGTAGCACTCGTCCAAATAACCGTGCAAAATTTTATAAGCCAATGCACGCCTCTACTATCTATTCTATGTTGTTCAGATTCTTCTAAATGAAGTACATGTGTCAGACACCAGACAGACAAGGATGTATGAACATCTTTCTTATATTTTGAATTGATAATAAAATTCAGGAAGTACATTGGAGATGTTTACTTTTTTCGATGCGTATCTCAAATAAATTTTGAAGATTTTTCGGTTATAAGTGGACATCAGCCTACAATAGAAATAATGAGAAAAAAAATTAATACCCAAACATATTTTTTAATAAGATTAGTGTGGCATGTTTAGCGGACCGTTCATTGATATTTTGCAATATATACATATCCAAATTGGAGATAAACAAATTTGTGTGTGCGCACTACGAATTGACATTGCAAAAATGACTTGATTAAAAATGTGGATGTAGTATAGACAACTATATGATGTTTATATCAAGATGCCTGCCATTAGGGTTGGAAAATTTACGTTTTTTTGGTCCTTGATATAAAGGTTTTGTTTTCTTTGGGAATGTCGAAAATTAAGCAATACATGCTCGTAGACATGACAGTAGGAGAAGGTGCATTCTTCTGTCATCTCCTTTGCATGAGCGATGACTTGGTCATATGACATGAATCTACCTTCAGCCGGTTGTTATGAGGGTCTTGAGTGGCCTTTAATTGCTCAGATACACAACTTTATATCGAGGAGCCCATATCATCTTTATGTAGCTATCACAACACCAATTTTCCCCCCTCTTATTCGTTCTAGTAGATTTCAATCAGTAATTGACGGGAACAAGTTTAATAAGTTTGGGGTCTCGAATTGATGGGGTTGTTATTTAATTATATTTGTTGCATACAAGGTTTCTCTACGAGTTTTTCCTTCAATTTCGTTAAGGTAAAAGCACCACATATACACTCTCTGTACGTTTTATGCTTAAAAATATCTGGTAAATTCTCTGTGCAGGCAGCAGTCCTCAAGGAAAAGTTTAACATTGATCTGCGCGTGATGGGTGTCACTGGATCGCGGACAATGCTCCTGAGCGATGTGTAAGTTTTAAAAATGCAAGAAAGACTTTATTGTTCAACTTTTATACAGTGTAACTGGCATCTCAAACGAACACAGCTCCACCATCGATCTATATTTTAAATGAAAACCATCTCTCTTGGAAGAAAGCAGTGAATATTTACAAGTAACATGGTGTTTATCATCTTATTTTACCTATTGGCATATCAACTTATATAAATTATACACATGGCAAATTAAAGAACAAATTAAATATTCATTCCTGGAATAAAAATTGAGTCCAAACCAAAATTGAGCTGTCTACCGCTATATCATTTAGGATGGATTTTGTCTCTTGAAATGGTCACACTTCTGCAATAGAATAATTTTGAATAATCATCTCATTTAAAAGCTTAATACATTAAACAGGACAAAATGTATTTATTCATACTTTCTGTCCTTTCTTATATGGCCAAGGATGTAAAGATAACATAGCATGTGGCGGTAAGACTTGGTCCGAAAGACCTTTGATTTTGAAAGTGTACTTAATTGCCATCTCACCTAAATCCTTGCTTAATTGGAGAGTAGATCTTTATTATTAATGTCTCTAATCAATAAGATTCTCTGACGATAACATTTTTTTCGTATAACAGTCTACAAAATAGAAACTTGTGTGGTCATTTGTCATCCTAGTGGCATGTTTTGACTCCAGATATTTTTATTTTTTCTAATAGTAACACGTAACAATCAACATTCAAGCATTTAGTCTTCTATTCAACATATTGCTCCTTTTAGCTTCTCCTAAGATACTTATCAGTCACATTTTCCCAAAAACATGGTTATCATTGGTTCTAGGGGAATCGACTTATCAAAATGGAGAGATCTTCAAAGGGAGAAAGGAGAGAAGGCTGACATGCAGAAGTTTGTTCAACGTGTGCATGGAAATCATTTCATTCCAAATACTGTCATAGTGGACTGTACATCAGATTCTTATGTTGCGAGCCATTACCATGACTGGTTGCGTCGAGGCATACATGTAATCACCCCAAACAAAAAGGCCAATTCAGGACCACTAGAGCAAGTAAGAATATATTTACAATCTGGTTTGCAATATAGTAAAATAGGTGCACTTTGGTAAACCAAACTTACATGTTAATTATGTACTATGTGCATGCTTGTGCACAAGTGTATAGGTATTGCCCTCTCTTATGGTATGCTTGGTAGGAAGGATTAATGATTGAACAATATTAACAAAGAAGAATAAGCTAAAATCTTCTGGTCTTGCCCAATATTGTGTACCAAACATGCACGTAGTGGCTTTGTCACCCACATTCAGTAGTGCAGCTTTGTTTTGGGAAGATTTTTATTTTTTTATAGTGAGGATCTCTTTAATAAATTTAATAGTATTCCTATATTTTTTCCTTTTTGTGTAATGAATCCAGTATTTGAAGTTGAGAGATCTTCAGCGACAATCCTATACCCATTACTTCTATGAAGCAACTGTTGGAGCCGGTTTGCCAATCATTAGCACTTTACAAGGTCTCCTGGAAACTGGGGATAAAATATTGCGAATTGAAGGCATATTCAGGTTAGTAATGGTGATATATTATACATGTTTAGGATGATAAGTTTCTATTCGTGCTCTTCACTCCTTGCGTGCTTGTGCAGTGGAACCCTAAGTTATATATTCAACAACTTTGTGGGCACACGAGCTTTCAGTGATGTGGTGAAGGAGGCAAAAGAGGCGGGTTACACTGAACCAGATCCAAGAGATGATTTATCTGGAACAGATGTGGCCAGAAAGGTATTACCAGTTGATTCTGTGTCATACGATGTCATTATACCTCTTGTCTCCTGCTTTGTGTTGTCAACTAGTGGAAAAAGCCATTGAATGATTCAGACATTTCTTTGGTATTCTTTCAAGTGCAACCCAGATAATACTCTGATATTTCTCTGAAAATGGGGAGTGTAGTACTCTCTATGCCATTATAGTATGGTTGCTAGGAAGGATCGGATAGATCTCGATAGCACTAAAGAACAAAAATAACTAAAATCCTTTTCATTATACTGTCTTGTCCAATATTCTATAACAAACATGCACTTACAGTATGGTGAAACTGCGGTATGTGACTCACTGTTTCAGATTCTATGGACTGAAGTCTTTAGGATCCAATTTTTGTCTACTTCATTATTTGATTTCGTCCTAACAAGGACAATTGCCACATTGGCAAAATTTTACTTTAAAGCTATTTGCCCTGATTTTACAAAACAAATGCCAGCCACCACACTTCAGTGCTATTTAATCTGGTGAAAATGAAGGCAAACAGCATATATGATAAATCAAGGCTGGCAGTAGATACAAATATAATAGGATAAATTTAACTGGAGATTAGTAGCATGTTTGGAAAGTGTTTATAAATGGTTTAAATTATAAAATATAAATAGATAGAAATGACTTGTGATAAATAGGTAGTACTTATGGGTTCCTCAAAATATGTGGAAAAACATGATTTGAATGTTTATAAATAATTGAATTGTGCTATTTGTACTCTATGAGTTACACTCTTGTTTACCTGACCCCACCCAACCCCGTCTTTGACATGGGGGTCGGGTCCCACATCCAATAAATCCATGGGACCTGAACCCCATGTGAGGGAAGAAGTGGGCCCGAGTAAACAAAAGTGTAATCCATAGGGTACATGTAGCATAACTCTAAATAATTTATAAACATGAGCCAAACATAGGCTAGGTTACTTCAATGAGCTATTTAAACTAAATATAAATACAATGGGACAAAATTTTTCCTCATCGAGTAGCTGGTGTGGTACAGGTGATAATTCTTGCTCGAGAATCTAGATTGAAGCTAGAACTATCAGACATTCCAGTTCAGAGCCTTGTTCCAGAACCATTAAAGGCAAGAATAAATTTGTTCATTAAAATGTGTCTGCTTTAGGGAATCACCATTTCTCCTCAAATATGATTGTCTTGGTTTGTTTCAGGCTAGCGCCTCTACTGAGGAGTTTATGCAGCAGCTGCCCACGTTTGATCAAGACTTGGCAAAACAAAGGCAAGAGGCTGAAGCTGCTGGAGATGTAAGTATACTGTCCCTTACTGCCAGAACAAAACTTTCAACAAAGATACAGACTGTCTTCTCAAATGATACCTGATCTTCCTGGCTAATACGAGTTCTGAAATTTTCCATAATATAGAGTACAAAAAATTGCACTATTTATGGGACATATTGCCCAAGTGGCAAGTTTGTCCCAACCTTTAAAACAAGAAGCAAGTTAATCCTCAACCTTTCCATGTAGTTGCACAATCAGTCCTCAACAGCACAATTGTCCAAATCTTTGATAAATGACACACGACTCTCGCATGTTCGACTTTGTGAAGCTATGTTTTTTTTTTTTCCAAACTTGGGCTGGGGCCCTTAATTTAGAAGTGAGGCATGCTTCCAAGAGGTCATGTGATGCCGGCTTCCATCATTAATGATTGATTGCGCAGTTGAAATGAAAGGGTAGGAGACCAACTACTGTTATGGCAATATATTTGGGACCAATAGTGCATTTTTTCTATATGAAATGAAAACAGTTAGGTGTATGTGTGTGTGAGGGAGAGGGAGAGAGATGAACGCTGTATTGAGAGTTTTGCTTCTTTCTATGAATATCGATTTCATGATCTTACGAACTTAAAAAATATTTGAAGGTGTTGAGATATGTTGGGATAGTGGATGTCGTGAACCAAAAAGGAATTGTGGAACTGCGAAGATATAAGAAAGAACACCCCTTTGCACAACTTTCAGGATCCGATAACATAATAGCATTCACTACCCAAAGGTACGAGAAGCAACCTCTAGTAATCCGTGGCCCAGGTGCTGGGGCTGAAGTGACAGCTGGTGGAGTATTTAGCGACATATTGCGCCTTGCATCATATCTTGGTGCACCATCATAAGATCATTCACACTTGATATTGAACAGGAAAACCATAGGATATCTTGTGACGATAAAGTCGTCCACCGTTATTTCTATGGGATTTCTCTGGCCTGGATGATTTATTTTGAAACACAAGTACTAATTGTTTTGCATTCTTCTTGTTCAAAAATGTTAATATAACATTTCTTCCTACTGTTTCGATGTTTTGTAGCTCCTTTATTGTGTACTTATTCAGCTGAAGTTGTATAAAATGAAGCTGATTTGCAAGTATATTCCATGTTTTGGTAAGGAAGAAAAATAAATAGTTCCATGTACGGTTGGATATCGTTATCTGCCTGCATAGAAATTCATTAGATCAAATCCGATCCATTTGATTCTACCAAGATACAGTATTTTAAATGCATTTAACACATTAATGCATGATGGAATTACTTCTATGCTTCAAGACAAACCGAAATTACGTTATTTTGCAATGACCGAGACCTTAACCTTTGCTCCTTGGTCTCTGTTGGAATTTTTCTACCTTAACATTAAGACGCCAGTAGAAAATTTCTATTATTTCCAGAATACAGAAGGATAAAGAGTCCAATCTACAATCATGGAAAGCAGATTGCAGAAATTAGCGAGCGAAAATTTCCATTCTGAGTATTCAGTTTGGTTTCACTGTTAGCGGGGTAAGTGATTCAAGGTCAAATTTATATCCGGGTCAAAATCCTTTGAGATTGTGAGTCGAAAATTTATTTGATTTTGGGACCAAGATAATACTTTGGATCTCTGAAAAACCTAGTGATTTTTTCGGCTTTCTCAGCCGAAAGGTCAGTGTTCTCCAAAATGTACTCCTTTGATGCTTTGGCTATTGCTTCGATTGAACCAATGGCTTGATTCAGCTGAAACACAAAAGCCCCAACAGTTGAGTTACCGTTCGCTGTAATATGAAATAATCCAGATACATTATGCACAGACAAATAAAAAGCTCGATGGCATTTCAATTCCACCTAAACTCGACGACACGGTATGATATTAAGGAAAAAAGCTCATAATGGGGCTATTACGATAGATGCCTAAACTATCTTTTATCCAGTGCTCAGATAGCATGAAATGAAATGTTTGGTCCATCTGAACTTTGGGCATACTACCACAAAAGCCGAAGATCTGTAACCATGTTGAATGAATTTCTTTTTGTAAACAACTACAATAAATTGGACTATAGATTTCTAAAAAGGTCTTAGACCTTTATATTGAAAAGTTTAGAAAAAAACTAGGTAGATTTATGGCCTTAAGACGATCAAATAACATCGTTTTTGATTGATAAATGAAGCAAAGATTGAATTCAAAGTGCCTTTTAACTTAAAAATAGTCAATGTTGAATGAATAATAAGTAATAATATTATTACCCGAATAACTTCTCATCACAGCCTCATCATGAAAAGGAGTTGTGACATTTTATACTTCTGTTACTTCTGAAGTTTGCAAGAGGGAATGGTTCATTCATCTTTTTTTCTTTTTTGTTTATTTTTATTATTTGCACTTGGTTGGAAGTAGGAAAATAGAGATTGTGAGAAAGTAAAAATGTAATGAATAATGCTCCTTGGACAGATTCAAGGACAAGGATGGATGTAAGGGGTGATATAGCAGATAATAATTGAATGTTGTGTTTTTATTTTTTTCAAATTATTTAATCATGTTAACACGTGTCCCCTCTGTTTTTGAACATGTCTTTGAATCTGTTTGTTTAGCATGATTGAAATGTAATATGGGAAAGAATCTTGTACCGCATTTGCATCATGGCTATCGATTCCGGGAATTGACGTGACCACTTTGAGATAAACGTCCATCCCTTGCACTGATTTTTCCCTCTTAAAGCATGACACAGAGTATTAGGTGCCCCACTCCAAGGAAAAAAAAAAAATAATACAAGAGCGAGAAAAGGTTTGGACAACAAACCTCAGATCTCAATTTTGCTATAGCATCCTGCCGCTTACACACTGCAATAGTTAAATAACAACAAATTAAGCCATTTCCCAATGACGCACTGCGATACATACTCGTTAAAAAAAAAAACATGCTAAATGATTCTGCATAATGAAGTTTGAGATTGGAGCCTTACTCCCTCGAGCATGTGCTATTTTTACAATCTTCTCAAAACCCATCTCCAAGTCTTGTACTGGCACGAATGTTGGCTTACCAAGTTTCATGTCATATCTAAACAAGCCATAATTAATAAGTTCTTAGTCCATATTGAACCACAGAGCAAAGAATATTATTCAACGTATAAGAGAATCTCATCTCACTTGAAATAAGAGCGTATGAAAGAATCATTCTGCTCCTTAGTTGGGAGGGTAACAACCACATAGAAGTGTGCAAACTGTCCATTCAGTTTCTGAACTCTATACAAATAGATAGTGAAATCTAAGAAGAAATACCAAGGTAAATTAAGTAAGAGCAAATTAAACTATGAGTAAGAAAAAAGAGCAGTAACCTGCTGAATATGGATGAAGTGTCATTGCAATCCCAATTAGTCACAAATAAGAAAGCTACTGACAAACCACCACAGTTAAAGATGAAATCCTGCAAATCAAATATTTGCAATCGTAAGTGTGATGCCCTAAACTTATATATCATGAGCTAGGGAGGAGAGTTACTGGAGCAATTGGCACAAAGTTTAAACGAAAAGAATTTGCATTGAGAAAGGAGGAGATGAAATTGATGAAAGATGGACGCTGTTCATTTTTCCAGGTGATACCCATCAGGCAAACCCCACGGCAATCTGCAACAGATTCAAATGAGAATCTTGTTAATCATTACAAGATAATACATTTGCAACCAAAATCCCGGTTGGCAAAAAGAATGCTGCTTCTACAGTTCAAACATAAACAAAGATTCAAAATGTAATCAGCGATCATTCAAAAACTATAGACATGAAAGTTAAAGTTTAGACAATAAGAGACCGCTATTAATTCAGGTTTGGCAAGGCAACCCACATGTAACAGAAAAATAAATAAGCTGAATCAATTCCATGACCCAAAAAAACTGCAAGCCTTAAAGTAGCCCGATATCAAGAATCAACAATCTACTTTAGGAGTCATCTACTCCTCGCAAATTTGCATCCTCAAGTACAAAGCAGGAAAAATTTAAAAATTAATATTCGTATTAGGATGTAAAAATGTCCCCGCAAATATGTATGTTAACCAAGATAACAACAGTAGGCATAAGATTCATCACAACAACAACTATAGAGTCTACAGAGTGATAATTTGCACTCTTCAACACCAATTCATGCTTCATATTTCTCATCGCTCATACTAGCATTTTACTAGTTCTAATCCAGCATAATTTTATTCTGTCCTATGTTCAAATCTGGTTGCAGAAGCTATGCATGAGATCTTCAAGAAATAAAAATAAAAAGATAAATCATGATGGACTAGAATATTGACAATAGTGTAGTTAATTCACTATGATCCAGCATATAGTGTTTCTCTGTCTTAAATTTATCAATACGATTTTGAGTACTGGAGAGTTTTACAAACGCCAAAAGAAGAAAGATCCAATTTCACCTTTTACTCCAAACACAATTGAATCAATTGCAAAACACAAAGCCTATACAATATATATTTTGAAGGTAAATGAATATAATTCAATCTTAAGAATTGAACTGTAATTTGAATTCATAATAACTCAATGACTTCCACCCTCACTCAAATCTTAGGAATAAAATCAATTTTATTTCCTATTGTTATTTCTAAACGAGTTGGATGCAATGGCAATAAGATAAAATCATCAAATTTAATATCCGAGTCAATTTATAAAACAGAGTCGGAGATTAAAAAAAATTGCTTAACAACTATAAATAATTTGAAAAATTAAAGTTATTTGACAGTTTTGAAGAATATTAAACCCGAAATACGAATTAAAATTAAATTAAGATAAGTACCTGGATTTGATAAACTTGAAGCATTGGAAAAAGGCGTTGGTTCTCTGCAATTTCGCTTTGAATTCATCTTCGTGCCTCTTTACTGGCGTGCCTATGAATTTGTCTAGGCGCGAAACAATTCTAAATATTCGTACTTTTGCCACTCGAAAAGGATATATTACAATTTTCACCATGATTCACTGGGCTTATTACAATTTTGTCCTCACACATTCTTCTTCACGTAGGGATGATAGCAGCGTGGTTTTAAAATATAGGGTCATGCTACATCAACATTTTGGACTACCCTTTGCCTTACTCGGGCCCACCCCCTCCCTCACATGGGGTCGGGTCCCACGCATTTATTGGACCTGGGACCCGACCTCCATGTGAGAGAGGGGGTGAGACCGAGTATACTAAAGTGTAAATCAAATGGTACAAATAGCTTAATTCTTCTCACTAAATACACCGCCATTAAACCACCACCAGCCATAATCAAATCTCCCATGAGTTCCATGCGTGTTTATTGTGGGAGCTTCTCATCCAAATCTCATTTCGTCATTAAAGGTCCAATTATTCAAACCCATTAGTTAAAATTCTCAGCTATTTTGGAAGTGTTCTCTATCTCCGCAAATCTTCTACTGAATTTATGGGTTAAAGATACATTTTCCAGATGTATGTAACACTGCGGCTGCGCTAGTAGACGAAATTCACCGCAATGACTGAGTTATAGCGCATTAAATCAAGGGTTTTTATAAAATGGTGTCACCAGAGCAGTTCCAGTATCAAAATTTCTCCATGGCCAAGCACGGTGG